TTTCAGCAAAAAAAAAAAAAGAAAACAGAAAACCTTCATTTAGTCTGACGAGTATTTATCACGTGCCTTATAGCTGGAGGCCCTCAAGCAGCTCTCTCTTCCAACCGAGAAGACACTGCTGTCTGCCCCAGCACCCATGCCCCAAATCCTTACACCCTACCCCACCCCGACCTCCCTTGTTTACTTGTGAGCACCTCCCTGCCCCATCCTCCGCTCTCAAGGTCACATTCTGCAGACTAGGCCTCCTTACTGGTGCCCGGTTTCCTAGTTTATGACCCTCTACAGACCTCCTACTCCTGTGTGCACTACTCCTACACAGACCTAAGTACAGTTGTAGTTTTTACTCTTTTGGCACCCTCTCATGGCTTGTTTCTTGGCCCCCCTGCCTTTTTTTAACTTTAAAAATCTTGGCTCAGAAGTCAGCTCCTCCAGGCAGTCTTCCCTGATAGCCTTGCCTACCCTATCCCTCCACAGCGTGGCTTAAGAACATGTGTGTCCCAGGAGTGGACCCTCAGGGCCCAGCCCACGGTGGGTTTGCCTGTGGCCTGACTCCTCACCTAACCGACCTCTTAGAATAGGAACTGTGGGGAGGTATCTTAAAGTGTTCTTACTCTTGTGCTTTGCTTTCTAAAGTTCACTTACGTCTTTCACATCTTTCACCATCTGAAATTATCCCCTTTTTCTGGTCTTTTTTATTTGCATTCCTTTATATTCAACCCATTTTTATTGTTGGTGCTTGTTTGCTGAAACTCAGCAATGGCTTTCACGTTAAAAACAAAACAAAACAGCACGTGTTGTTCACTTTCCACGTTCTTGAGTGAGAAAACTAGAAAAAAATACTCCTTGACATATTACACAAGAATTCCTTTTCTCCTAAAAGCATGAGGTAGAATAAAACATTTCTGCCTGTAGCAGTTTTAGAAGGAAAGCAGAGAACAAAAATATTCCCGAACATTACCATGTGCACAGAGTTTCATAAATTGGTCTGTCTTCAGGACCACACGTGGGTGTTTCAGTGGGGGCAGTATTTACTCACACGTATTTGGTCATTGTAATAATCCTGACTGTTCCAGAAGGTATCAAGAAGATTAGCTCATAAAAACCTTCAGTACACATTGCAAATGGGAAGGGAAAGGAAAGACGAGGGCCCATTTAAAAAGCTCGTGTCAACTTTAACCAAAATAGTTCTGGATTTTCTTACTCCAGTGACAGTCCCTAAGATTGGACGTATTTGGGGGAAACACTAAAGAAGGAAACAGTCCTATAAGTGAATGCCCAAGCCCTCTTCAGTCTGATAAGCCAAGAGAAAAGGAGCCCCCAGAAAGGTCTCAAATGCATTCCTCCCTATTCAGAGCAAGAGGACATGATACGCTGTACGTGTGGCAGTGTCGTTGAACTCCACACCAGCAGGGATTGTCTGCAGCCCTCTCCCCATTTGTCTCAAAGAGAATACAGACATAAGAAGAAAAAAGGCAAAGCAGAACAAGCTTGTACTGATTGAGATGTTAAGAAGCTGAGCCTTGAGGAAGGGTTTTGGGGAAAGCAGTCCACATAGGACACTTGGAAACAACCTTGGTTTCCTCTTCCAGTAAGTGAGGGTGATCTGTCACCTGCACCCTCTACTTACATAGTTATTCTGTGGATCACTTGAAAAGGCCCCTGTAAAAGTTCCTTCAAAACAACAAAAAGGCCTGGCTGGTTAGCTGAGTTGGTTAGAGCGTGGTGCTGATAACACCAAGGTCCAGGGTTTGATCCTCACACCGGCCAGTCACTAAAACAAAAAAAACCATGTAAAATGTATAAAAATTCACTTTCTTGTTATCGCCAGCCATACCCCTAGGATTAAAATGTACAACTAGGATAAAAATGTTTATGCACAGATGTTAAGCCAACCCTCTTAAAACAAATTGAAAAATCAAGTCTGAAAATACTAAAGGAGAAGTCATACGTTTCTAAGGAAACTGTGGCATGATATGTAGTATGGCTAATCTTATTTATAATTCTTTAAGAAAAAAAATTCATTCTTTTTAATACTGGGCACTTTCCATAACCATTGATTTTGATCTTTTCGGATTATTTTCCAGTATAGAAATCCTCCACCCCTGGTGGCAGTGACCTCTGAACATATGTTCAGGGATGTTTTAAAAGAAATTACATTACATATATTTACTGATCAGAATTTTGCCTCAATGGAAAAATGCTCAACGAAGTTAATTACTTAAAGGTTAGGAAGATAGGGAAATTGTCGTTTTTCCCAGAGTGACCTTTGTGGACCAGTTTTTAGAAAGGAATTTGCATTTCTTTCCAAACACGGATGAGGGCCTGACTAATACTCAGTTTCAGCTGTGTAAACATTCGACTTTCAAACAGCTTGGAAAGAGAGTGAGAGCAAAACTGGTAACAACCAATATAAAACATGAGTAATGATTATATTATTGATTATTTCCCTTATTAAATAATCTCTGAGTTTGCTTCCAAAGAAAAGGCAAAAAAGCAAAGATTATTTCATTTCTTAGTTTCTATGATGTTAGTATAACAAACATTGTAGAAAACAAAGCAGTGTTTATTATACAAGGGTACTTCAAAAAGTTTATGAAAAGATTTGTATTATCTTCCAACTCTATTTTTCCATGAACATTTTCAAATATGTTCACGTAATGTCTTTCAATTCTATTTTCCATGAATTTTTTTGAAGTACCCTTATATATATATAGTATGTGTGTGTGTATACATAATTTTTGACATGTTTTGACTCAGAAGCCCGTGGTTTCTGATTACCTGTGAACATAGTCTTCATTAAAACCCTACTACATAGTATTTCATTTTGTAATAAACACTATGACATACTTACAACTTTATACATACATGAGGGAAAAATTATTGAGCCCTCTTTTGGCAGAAACCTGATTTGCAAAACTCTATTTTACTTTCTTGGTTTATATTTTTCAGTGCATTCATGAATAACCAGCTGCATTGTTACACCAGCTGAAAGAAATAATTGAGTAGACTCATTAACAAGCTGGCAATTTATTCACAATGTTGGGGAAAAGCTTATAAAATTTTCTGTAGGGTTCATGAATGATTTATAATAATTTAGACTTCTTACCCTTGATTTCCCAAATAATTCCATGTCTTAGAGCTTGGAGCCCCTCCTGACGAAAGTCCCTTCTATTAGAGTGGATAAAGCAAGTTTCTGTCCTCCGAACACTTGAAGTAACTTAGACTAGATGAGGGAGGTGGCATCTAGTCTATGAACTGCTACCCGATTTCACACACAAGGAAGTGATTTAAAACCGCTTTATGTACTGCTGCATGGAAATCAGCATTTCAGTTTTTTCCTGGATACTTGTTCTAGGTTTGAATTTGTCATCAGCTATTAACACTAACTTAGAGTCCAAGCTGAAATCTGTCAAAGGCAGAATAATCTGAGAACTGGCCAGAATCATGTATGTAAGGGATCTTTTATATTCTCATAGGTGTGTTCTGAAAGTAATATATACTTCAGAGGTTTGTTTGCTGCTTTGCTTGTTTTTAATGCTATTAGGTTGAAAGAAAGGGGAATAGCTTTTCAGATAGAATTTTATGAACTTATATTTTTAAAATGTGTGTAGTGTTTATTAATCAAGTTTCCACAGTCGGCTACGCCCTGCCAAAATAAATATATAGGAAGCTACTGTAAAAATAACTCATTGAATTTTCCTAATAATATAATTATCTACTAACTTTAAAAGAATGTAAGTAGGTTTTGACATTGTAGTGTTATCATCATGGGTAAATGTTTTCCCTTTGTCCCTGTGGTTTCTTAGGGTCTGAGAATCTGGAAATGGTAGAGTTCTAATGAAAATATTTTATTAGAATTAGTCTATGTAATTGTGATGGCAGTAGTCAGCTTCTTATTTAATATACCATAAAATAAAAACTATTAATAAATTCTAACTGGATCATAGGTAGTAATTTAAACTCTTATAGCATATGGTAGGGAAGGGATATAACTACTTTCCAAGTCTGGTCACAAAATATTGATCATTTTTAAAAGCACAAACTTGTTCAAAGACTTCAAATCTGATAGAATTCACTTGTTTTTATTATTACCTGAAATTGGATGGATTTTGTTCTCATCCTTGTGTTCTTTCATATCACCTTGCTAGTGTTTTATCACAGAGGGTTAAACTGAGACTGTTTGAACTTATTTTGTCTAGGACACATTTGAGCTGGAACTAGAACCCAGACTTGAAACTCTACCCTGAGGCTTAGCGAGCACTCATTCTTTCATTCAAACTCATATATTTGCAACAATTTAAGTAGTTAGCTTTTTAGTGATGAAAGGTTATTTTATAGGCTCCAGGTTACTGCAGTATTTTCCTTACTTATCTTCCTCTGCTGTATGCTGTTGAGAAAGGATTGGGGGCATGATTGATTCAAATAACCACCTAAGGGTTAAATATTATGTGTGGCCCCAGATTTCTGGTCAAGTGTTCGGGAAAAATTTTTATTGATTTAAGTAGGTGTTATAGCTTAGAAGAGAATGGCCCAGTGTTTGGCAAGAAAGCAGATATGGAAACTCTACTCACAGCCAAATTTACAAGAATAAAGCAATTGGTTAATGTAAAAGGAAATGGCTTTGACAGATTTACACTCTTGGGGTGTGTTAGAAATCCACCAAAATTCAAGATTCGAGTGCATTTTTATCTTGAAGTAGAAGAATCCCACACAAAGTGAAAAGCAGTTTTCTGTAAAGGAAGTGCTGTTGAGAACCGTCTAGTCACTCTTTCTCCCACTGTGTATTCTACTCTGTTGTGTTACAGGTAGATCTGATGTGTCCTATCAACACCCTTTTTGCTTTCTCCACTCTGTTTAGAGTTAGATGTAGATCAACCCACAGAAGAAAAGAAGGAATGCTACTATAATCTAAATGACGCTAGTCTCTGTGATAATGTGCTGGCCCCCAATGTCACCAAACAAGAATGCTGCTGCACTTCGGGTGCCGGCTGGGGAGACAACTGTGAGATCTTCCCCTGCCCGGTCGTGGGGACTGGTAAGAATCAGCTGAGTGGTGTGTTCACACTTGTGTTTGGCCGGGAGGTGTCTGCGAGCCTTGGAATGTTCTCATTTTGGTTATTACATGAAGCCTTGAAATGATGACATTCACTGCCACAGTTGACTTGAGGTGAGACGACCTTATAGTGGGTTTCCTTTGGGGCCGGAGCCACCGCCCTCATACCATCTCAGTATGAATTCTTAAATTTCTGCCTGTCATGGAGTGTATGGTACAGTCATGTGCTATATGATATTTTGGCAGAAAGATAGTTGTTTTATTCCATTTTTAAGTGAAAAATCAAT